GTGGAGAAAATACCTGTCTTCACCTCTCTGGACCCTCCTGCCCTCAGGGCTGAGCTGCTGAGTCTGTTAATCATTGCTAAGCTCCTGTAAGAACACATCTATTTCTTTGCTCAAGTGGACAACATTACGTTAAGGGCTTTATGGTTTTCCTGAACGGTTCAGTTTGTTTATAAACTATTAACAGAGTCAATAGGTTTAGAACGGGCCACATGTAAAAATCAATTCCTCTGGAAGAAGAAAGTCATCACAGCAACAAATTGTGGCCTTTTAGCAGGTAAGTGCATGTGGGAGACCTACCCAAGGCACTGTTATGGGGCCATTCATGTAGTTAGAGAGGAACTGCGATCTCAATGAACTCAGGGACAGTTTAGGGGAACCATCCATATATAATTGGATTGCTCTTAGGAAGTTGATGCATCACAACATCAATGTGCCCTATGCTGGTAATGATGGGTCTTTTACCTCCTCATGCAAGGAGAGCTATTAAGTTTTGGAGGCTGTTCTTCAAACGAGAGCACTTTAGGAAAATACATTGCCCACATCCTTCGTGAAAGCAATTTACTGCAACTTCTCTGCAGGGAGCCTGAGGCTTGAAGTGACAAATCCTCAAAGAGCAAAAGAGGTCAAGTGCTAAGGTTGGGACCTGAAAAGCACAGCTCTCAGAAAACAAGGGGTAGGGAGACTGAAAGGCAAATAGGACAAGACAGCATGGGGGCAGAGGATAAAAGAGAGGTTTGCTCACACATCTGTGGGTCTGGGCTCTATCTGAGACAATGATTTACTCAACAACCAGAAATCAAGCACAGGATGGACTCTGAACAACACATAAAGAAGACCCAGGCAGGTAAGGTAGCACAGGCAGCAAAACGCAGGGAGGTATAGTTATTGCTTCATCTAAATCTTCCTGTTCACATGCTAACTAGAATGAGGAGAAATTGCTTTGGCATCCTTGCAAAACCCTGATTTGTTTGCCCTGCTACCACATGCCATGGAAAATAGGAACCATAAATCCAGAGAACGATCCGGGCTCTACAAAAAGGTTTGCATCAGCTCCTAACAACAGGAAAGCTGGCCGGACTGCAAGGTAAAATCTGTCAAAGCCTAACAAGAGAGTCCACCCTCTCACTCACGTAAGGGGGTTTGCGGCCAGCAGACCTGATGCAGTGAGGCCAAACACTATAACCCAAGCTGGAGCTCACGCCATGAAAGCAGGCACAGAAAGAGGAGATCATTTCACCAAGAGAAGGTGATTTCACCAGGCAGGAGTGAAAACTTCAGTGTCACAACCCTGGTCAAATACTAAGCTGTAGTCCACTTTCCCTCTGCTTGATTTGACATCCTTCCCTCCTTCCAAAGGATGGTACCATAATGACAAGCTGCCACTGAAAAGTGTGATGTTGTCTGGATGATTTGGACACTCATTTCCCCTCCGGTTCCAACAGGTCATCCGGAGCAACAGTAGGGCTTTAATAACCTCGTCCTATATACAGACCGACCTCTTTGTAAGTCCCTAAACAAAGAAGGAAAAACAAGAAACAAAAACCCCAAACCACAACTGATTTAGCTGGCCTTTGGAAACGGAACATGGCAGCTTTTTTATCAGCCACACCACCTGGGCCCAATATTGTCAGGGAGCAAAAGTGCACCCCATGAACAGACCATCTGACTGAGGGCACTAGTAAAACTCCTTTATACCTTCCTTCTTACAGCAATAATTTTGACTGTTTCAATTAATTCCATCTAATCTCCTTGATGAACGTTTTGAAATTTAAAACCAGCCCGAGGTCCACAAGTTATAATGAAAAACAAGAGAGGAAAAAGAAGGCAACAATAACAAGCTACAACGGAATTAATAGGCTAAAAGAATTAACTGCAGCACAGGATTTTGGAGGCATCCAACACCCCTTCTGCTCTGCACTGGTGAATTCAAGGATTCCCAGCACTAACAGGAACACTTCTTTTTTCAATTCTCTACTTAAGCACTAGCATCATCATCTTTATTATTTATTATTACTATTATTATATTTCTACTACTTTTATTATGGACCTTTACATGGTCATAAGGTGCTGGGGAGTGGGGAAGGGAGGATGACCTGGGGCAGCATTTGCCTTTAGTTCAGGACATTTCAACCCCCCCAGAAGGGTAATTCCCAGGGCAAGGAAGTTTGTCACCATGTGGAGATGCCAGGAAGAAACCGAGAGACTGAGATTTCCTGCAAGGGGACTGAGGACAGGAGGGTGCTCAGTTGCCATGAGTACCACGTACACAGATGATGGACATGGGAAAGAAAAACGCACCAGACCTGTTCTGTTCTGTGCATATCATTAGGACTTCTGGAGCTTGTGTTAGTGACAGAAAGGGTCCCTTGAGCTGGCTGAAGGAGGCTGATAATGAATTTGCACGCTGTAAATTAGCCTCTGGATATTTTTACATCAGCCTGCTCGCCTCGGCTCCGATGGAAATGCATCGGGGGCCCAAGGACTTCCTCCTCATTTGCTCTCGCCATCTCCTGCCAAAGGCTGGCATCTGCTTTCCTGTGCTGCTCTGCCTCCCCATTGACTGCTCTCTGCTGGCTACGGAGGAGCTGTCGCCCCCAAATCGCTCTCCCATGGGTCCTCGCCATGGGAGCTGCAGCAACTTGCCTCCATCTAACGCTCCGCAGAGGGAAATGCTGAGACATACAACTAGCTGTCGGCTGGGATGTGCTTATTAGGTAAAATTAATGCTGGAAGATAGAAACAGAATTCCCCTCCAGAGCCGCAGGGCAGGTGTTTAATTCAGCATTTTATCCCCTTTTCTCTTCTTTTTTAACACCTCCAGATAGCTTAATGCTATCCAGACTGCCTATTCCCCTTCTGATAGGCTCTCCCTTCATTTAAAGCCATCTTTTTTCTTGCTCCCCTTGACAGCAGTTCACTATGATTTTATCTTTTCTATTAGGCAGCGACTGCAAAAAACCTCAGAGGGTTCATTAGGAGCTTGGTAATCCCTCCAGATTTATTAGGCTAAATTGCTCGTTCCCATCTCTCATCCCCATTTAAATATTACTAATTTCCTTAAACATCTCTTCCAGCTGCCCAGGTTTTGCCCGATGTCACCTTTAACAGTCCCTGCCAAAAATGCAGTTTTGCTGAGGGCTGGTCTTTTGGAAGAAGTGGTAAAATAACCTGGGTAAAGAGATTAATACCCTGTGCAGGGGAATGGCAACAGAACTCATTTCTTTCTCACCTGCCATAACTGCATTACACTAGATGAATGGGTTTCAAAGACAAATATCACCTTCTGACCTCAAGCAAAAGTTTAATCATACCTGTGCTAGAAACTAGCGTGGTGGCAGTGGTGGGGAACTTAGTTTTTATAGTTCTATTGTCTGAACACCATCTATAAACACAGACTCCACTTTGCTGGTGATGGGCAAATAGAATCCCTTACCACGTGCGTAGTCCCGGTCCATGGGGTGCACAGCAACACAGTTGTTGTGAGCAGAAAACAACATGAAAACTACTTGCTGGGACTGGGAAGTGACTGGAGCGGGTTAGTGTTGTGAGCAGGACCTGATGGGGACGGCTACTGTCCCTTACCAGCTCCACCAGCACAGCTACACTCCATCTCAGGGCCTGTACTGGGGGTGAGAAGTCACAAAGCAGCAGCCACTGCCTTGAAACAAGCAGCCTCCCAAGGGCACAGCTCTTCCTCCAGTCTGCCACTGGTTGATCCCCCCTTGGTTCATCCCTTCCTTTTGCTTTCCTGGCTAGTTCCATTTGCACGGGAATAAACAGGAGCAGTGAAGCTTGCTCTTGCTGGACTGATATTGAGCAACATTAGGACCTATGCATTGAGCACTAAGCAGGGATCAGAACGCTATTAGTTCAGGTAGGAAGCGTGTGGGGTTTTCTATTTTTTGCCTTTTTCTCTTTTTTTTGACAGCTCCTTTCCCTACCCCTTTTTTATTCTCCGTCCCAATTGCTCTCTTGGCTTTCAAACTCCCATTTCACTCCTTCCCCCTCCTCCTCTCCTGCCTACATGTTTGGCTCCATGCATTCCCGTCTGTCTCCCACCCAAACACAAAGCGTGATTCAGCTCCCGGCTTTCCTGGCACACGCACACCATGGCATAAATATTAATAGAAATTAGAGAAGATGAGTATCATTTGGGGTTGGAAGGCACCTCCACTTAATCATCCGCCCTACCCTGCCGCACTCAAGTCTCCAGCATCCCCACACCAGCATTAATAGGCAGGTATCTGCTTTCCCCAGTGGCAGCGTTCCCTCACACCACTTGGCAGCTGGTTCAAGAGCTTTGTAGCTGCTGCAGCAGGAGAAGTTTCTCTCATGTTTATTTTGGGTTTCCCCCTGCTGCTGCCTAAGCCCATTACTCCTTGTTTAGCACAGTACTCAGGGATTTAACCACACGATCCCCCCATTAATGTTATTAGTAGCTATAAAGCCAAATCACCAGGGGCCAGGCTGAATATATACCCTGCTCTGCCTCTCGATGTTTATGGTATCATCTTTCCTTTGTCTTACACAGCTGCTCTCAGAGGCAAAGCAAAAAAGCACAGGGTTGTGGTGCCCTCCACGTGCACACCCCAAGCAACCTACCCCATGGGTAAAGAGCTCAGGGGCTGACACCTCCAGCAAAACCCTCCTGAGCCCCTCAGATGGCTCAGGAGCCACCCATCAGCTGGGGCTTCCCAAGGACCCACACATCTCATTGCACCATCTCCATGCCTGCAAATCCTTTCACAGCTACATGGGATCAACCAGTGCTGGCGGGAGCCCATCAGCTTTCACCTCCTAAAGGCCAGGGCAAGACTTCCCCTGCCTGATAATTAGGTTTGCAAGGGGACACCTCTACTTGCTTCCATCCCCTTTCTGCTGCAAAACTCCAGCTCCGCAAGCACGTCGCTCTTCCCAACGCTCCCATGGGCCAGGGAGATCAGCTCCCATTAACATGACTCTACACGCACACGGGAGAAAAGCTGAGAGAAATGTCTTACCAGATTAGTGAAGATATACGTGTAATAGGCAGACGCCATTCCCAGTTCAGCTGCCTGTGAAGGAGAGGAAAGGAGATTAGACCAGAGCCTGACAATCTTCAATCTCCACTCCGGCAAGGCAGAGACTGGGCCCCATTTGCTTCTTCATCCTTATCGCTCCGTGCAAGCGCTGCTGTCTTCCTGCAGGAGGGAAAAGGTGGGACACAGCAACACGATTTGACCTGTGAAATTAAAGTCTGGGGAGCCAATCTTTCAGCCTACCCCTGAGGTCTCCTCTCTGCATCAGCACTGACAAAGCACGTGCACAGGGGCTGCCCGGCAGAGAGAAACCACCCAGTGATGGATGAGCAGCAGCTCTGGTCCCCTGTGACCATCTCTGCTCCCTCTGCAACATCACACATGGGGATTTCTGCACGTGGCCCCACTCCAGACAAGGACAACCTGGAAGGAAGATGCCCATTGGAAGCAAAAGCTTTTGCATCCCCACAGCAATGTACAGAGCCGGCAAGGTGAAGCGGAACACAGCAGCCCGAGGCCTCCAGAGCCCCTTGGAATGAGGAGTTCCTTGGGAATACTGCGTGTTTGGAGATTGCTGCTTTTCTGCTGTTCAACTGCTAACATCTTTTTGAACATAACGAGGGGATGCAGCAGTTGGGAGAGCTCAGGGTTTGTCTCCTTTCGCCACAAACACCGCGATGCTGAGAGCAAGGCGGAAAAAGCACTTCTGGAGGTAGAGAAAACGGACGGTCACCCCACTGGTGGTTTTCCCACATGTATCCGTCAGATTTGGGCTCCAGCCCTGTAAATTAACTAGCACAAATGAAATCTAGTAACAAAGCCTGTTCTCCAGAATTTAGACATGGATGCAGTGGCCACAGAAATAATCAACAAGGGTAAAAGCATACGGAGATGCAGAGTGAAGGACACAGATTTTTCCATGTGATCTCTTCTAGGGATCCCAGACTAGATCACTGAGGTCTTTTTCTAAACTTCGCAGGTCCCAGTAAACAAGAAGCTGTCTGTGGGAACAGATGCTCAGCAAAGTGGGGGATTAATCTGCAGATCCTCCTGAAAGCCTGTGTTTCACTGCCAAGCACAGCTGGTATCAAACGGTGCTTCTGGACCTTGGCAAAGAGGTTTTCCCATCACCCCAGATCACACAGGGGAGCTGGAGGCAGGGAGGGAAGGACCAAAGGCAGCCTGGGTTTAGTCACTTCCTGTCTCCCCCAGAAGCTGGAGGATGGTTACAACAGAAAGTGAATGCAGGAAAGATACAATGAGGTGGTTTAGATCGCATCCTTCCCTATTCCTCCCTGTTCCTCACCTATTTCTGTGAAAAAACAAGGCCACTACTATTTCAGTGGGAGTTGACATGGACAGCAGGGAGATATGGATACTGACTGATCATGGATTGGACTGGCTGTACCCAGCCTTAAGATTGCACACTGTCTCCCTGTCCTTTGCACAAGTGGCAAAACGGACCCAGCAAAATTATTTGCCCACGAGAGCACTGTGACTCCAGAGGAGGCTGCAGCCCGGCCTTTCAGTCACTGGCCTCATTTTAAAGCCCTACACAATAAACCCTGGCACCCAGTTCCCTTCCTTAGGACACTGATAACATCAGCTCCTCGTCTGACCCCCTTTGAAGTCAGTGCATTTGATTTCAAGGGCAGAAAATCAAAGCGAGCAACAAAGCGCTTCCTGCGAGCATCGCTCTCATCCATTTAACGTGCCCGCTGGCAGGTGGGCAGCCGGGAGAGGCTGGTAATCGAGGAAGCAACCGTGTGTCTCCAGACCATATGTGGAGGGTAAGAGATGAGAAACTGCAATTTCTCTCGTTGTGCAAGGCCAGGACTGGTCTCCTGAGGCACGTCCGACACAAGGCACTTTCAGAGCAATAACATGTTTTTTGTGCTGTTGGCGACCTGTGGGCAGAGGCCAATGATGTACCCATGTGCTCACCACAACCTCACTCCTTACTCTGCTTGCACCTCTATAAAGAAAACACTTTTCAGCCTCCAAGGGTGAAGGAAGTTACCAGATCAGAAGCTCATTATTTATTACCTTCTATTCCTGCAACCCTCTAGTTGGGAAGACTGCTTTAGGTTTTACTCAACTGCTGAAAAATCATGGCAATCTCTGACATCTTCACCAGTTGTGGCAGAAGGATGCTCAAGAAGGGAAGGGAGACGTCGGGTGCATGAAGAGCACTGCTGTGTGCTGGTGGGAAGTCACTATAGCAACAGAGGAGGGGGACAGCCCTCAGCAGCCAGGCAGCACGAAGGACCGGGAGGGAAGAGAGAAGTGAAGAAGCACAACACCTTCCCCCTGCATAAAAGGGACCCAAAAAACCCCAAACCTGCCTGTTTCGAAACACAAGCAGGGGAATAAAGATCTTGGGGAAGGTGGGAGGGAGTAACTAAAACAGCTCTAATGGTTTCTGCTGCTTGTCACCAGGAATAAATCTGGTAGAGCCAATGCCTTTGAATGACTGAGTCCCTGACATAGCAGCCAGGACACCATATGTAAAGCCTGACCCAGCAGGGAGGACTCCACTGCCTGGATCCTGCCTCCATTCAGGAAAGTCCTTCTTGTTCCTTCCAGGATGTGGGAAACTCTACACAACTTCATAGTTCCATCTGGAGCCACTGCTCAATTTTGAAGTAGTCTATCAAACCAAATGCTAAAAACTGCAGCAAGAGACCATTTAAAAATAAACATGATTAAACCAAAGTCTCGGTTAATAAGGCAATAGGAAAGGAAGCAAAAACTTATAAATGGAGTTGGAGATAAAAAGCAAAAACGATGGCACTGACTGACTGATTTCAGAGCGCCTATAGCAGTTCTCCACGGCTGTTTGATGGCATCAGAGCCACGAGCACAGACCACTTCTAGAGAGCAAACACATCAGCTCAGAGCAATTGAATCATTGCTTCTAAAGAGACAGTCCCGGAAAGAGAGAGCAAACTGTTTTCCCCAGAAACTCTATCAGTGGCAATTCCCCATTTCCAGTGTTGCTGCAGGAAGTTTTACGCTCCATTGTCATACAACCCCTGGCACGTGCATGCTTACACCCTGCACGCAGTGAAAGCAGCAGCCTTTACAACTGTGATGCTCAAGAGACCCTTACCTTCCGCAGAATGGTATGAGACATGGAAGCGTTGGCGTGTACGATGATGGTCGCTGTTTTGTCATCTCGGATCTCTTTTAGGAGAGGGGTGGGATCCCGGCTGTCATCCAGCATCCGGACCGAGAGAGTGTCCTTGGAAATGAGGAACTGCCGAAGCAACTTCTCTAGGTTTAAAAGGCCTTCAAATAAAAGGTAGGGGAAAAAAAAAACAAGCAGACACCTTTAATTTTCTGCTTGGTTCACAAAGCGTTTCTCCATAGCCCATAGTCATTCCCAGCAGGAAGCAGCCCTGCAGTTCTATGCAAAGGAAAGGATTTGGGGCTGCAGCACAGGCTCACTGCTTGGGCCTGTGTCCATTCCCAGGCAATGGGAAATGAGGGAGTTACCCCAGCTGCACTCGAGACAAAGCCTCTTGGGAAGAGAGAAGACTGCCTATGCAAATTTGGTCAGGACCCCAGGGTCCACACAATTTCTCCACTATTTTCCTGCATGCAGGATTGCTCTGGTTGTCACTGGTTGCTGAAGGATGATTCCCTCTCCTAAGCCTTCGCATTACTACCTCCCAAATGAAGTGCCCTGCAACGCATGACTCGGTTTGGAGATCTTAGAGCACTCTGATGGGAGCTGCTGTCTTCCAAGGGCATGCATCCCTGAGGATGGAGAGCTCTGCTGGGAGTCAGACAGAGCAGAGATCATTGCTAAAACACAACATGAGGTCTACATGCAAATATGTGACAGAAACTGGGAGTACGGTCCTGGCACAGTGCGGAATTACCTGCGGGCTGGGGATTCCTAGAGCAACACAGAAGCCAATAATAAAACAAACGGGCATGTTTGATGCCTTATAGAGGAATTAGAGATTGAAGTAGGACAGTCATCGCAGCCCAGTGGCTCCATCACTTTGCCTGCCTCCTTCTTTCTGCCTTGCCATCAGCATTTCTGCCTCCCTCATGCTCACACCGAGCTCTTTGAGTGCAGGACCAGGCTCTCCCTTCAAATAGGAGCTGAACAAAGCAAGTAATTAGTGAGCACCCACGTGGATGAGTCCCAGGTTGCCTGGACTTGTGCCCTATTGCCTTCAACACTTCTCATTCAAGCTTCTTCCTGCAGCTAGGTCACTGCAAGGGCTCCTTCCAACACAGCTTCCTTGATGTCTAGTAAGACATCAAAGCTCTTGCCGCAGCTTTCCTTAGTCAAGAAAGAATATTTGATAGTCTGTCTCTTCCATCCAGCTGCTGCGTTTCAGCAGGAAATTACCTCCTGTCAAGTTTGATTAACCAGAGTCCACCAGATGTAATCATCAGCAAGACACACGTCCCATCCCTACAGAAAGATGGTCCAAAAAGGAGGGGGAAAGCTGCATGAAGCAAACTGAAAACAACAGAACCATCAGCAGAATGATGTCCCAGAAGCAAATCGAATCCTCAAGTCAGACCTCTACTCTTAACCTAACCACACTTGGACTGTATGAAAGTGCTCATCCACCAGAAGGTGAGGGGAAAGCTGCACTACTCTGCACACCCAGATTTACACCACAACGTGACTTTCAAAGGGACATAAATCCATGGAAAGGCATGGGCATCTGGAGGGAAATCTTCAGCCATCCCCCTTGGAAATGCTCATTTTCCATTTAATTTCCTGCAGAAATAAAATCAGATCCTGTTCCTTAACACTGCAGCTTGTATTTCTCAGCTCTAAGTTAATCTTGCAAACTGGAGAGCATCCCTCTGCTAGCGGCTATGGGTTTGTGATTCACAACAGACCCTCAGCTTCCTCTTCATTTTTCTCTCTGCTGACTACATCGGCACCGCTGTTCCTGCCTTCTCCTCCAGCCCACAGCTCACTGGGGCACAAGTCCCAGGTACAAAAGCCACCCTGGCCTCTGTGGTGAGGAAGTGAGGAAGGCAGAGCCCAGCTGCAAGGTTTCTAAAGCACATCAGGCACAGAGAGGAGGAAATAGGACCAGGCTAAAAGGGAAGCATTTGATCTCCTCTGGTTCAAGGAAATGATCGTTTCCAGCATATCAGATCCTGCCTTGTAGCCACTTCAGAGCAGTTCACAAACTACCTAATCTATTTCACACTGCAGAGAAACTGAGTCACATAGCGCCATTCTGTTCACCATCCATTACACTTAGCCTGGCCCAAGTTCAATTGACTTCAAGGGTCATTTTCTGCTTCTGCCAGAAGAAACTAGTATCGGTCCCCAGGGAAAGGATGTGACTCCTTACAGTGATAGCATGAGCGTGACGGGATAGGACCCAGGAGTCCCATCACACAGCCTTGTACTTAAACCAAAACAGCTATGACTCTCCCTCTTGGGACCTAAATAACAACATCCCTCAAACCACCATTTTCTCACTGATGAGCAGATAGCTCATATGCTCCCCTATTTGCCTCCAGGGAACCTTCCAAAAACTCAAAGCGCCTTAAGTTACTTGTTTAAGGACTGTGATTAGGAGCACTACCTGTCTTAAGGGAAAATGAGGGCTTGCGCTCCTACGTGAAGCTGGGTTATACCTTTTCTGCACTCCATTATAGTGAGAGCATATTGTGCTTTAAGCCTAGCTCAGAAAAGGTCCTTACTGGGCACAAAGAGCAGGATGCATGAACAACACCCATCCCACTGCTTCCCTGGGTCTGGGAAGGACTCGGGTTGCTCAGCGCATCCTAAATACCGAGTTATCCAGCAATACCAGAGTGAAACTAATGGAAGTGATTCAATTAAAGGAGTGTTATTTTAATGTGAGCTATTTGGTTCCCAAGGCTTGGATCCCAGTTAAATGAAGAATCATGCTGTATTCCATGGGAGACGCCTGCATGTTTTGGCACGTACCTGAGGATTAGGGCAGGGGAGCACAGCAGTGTGCTGATGACTACGTGTGCTCTGTGCCCAGCAGCAGTGCAAGGACAGAGCTGTGAGCTCGCAGGTGAGAAAACCTCATTATCTCCTCTTCCTTTCTCTTTTTCTTCCCTTTTGCTTAAATTAAGCTTAGACAATGAAAAATTCCAGCACCAGAAGCAATGCAGGAGACCATTTACATGATTTTAATGGCATCATTTTGGGTCAGGTCCTCTGCTAGGGTAAATTTGAGCATGTTTCCTCAAGGCAGTTTAATGACTTACATCAGCTGAGGATGTGGTCTCCTCAGGGTACATAAAGCAAAGAGAAAAGGCAAAGACACTCTTACTCTGTCTGTTCTGTGCAGGAGTCTGCCACAACACTGCTGGTGGTGTGAAGTCTGCCCAGGGCTATCTGTAAAGGATCCTGGCCCCACTGTCAGACACTGCTAAGCTCTTGCCAGTATCCCAAAGCTCTCCCTGGATCCACGTGCCTTTTCAAAGCCCCTTTTCTAGGCTTGTTTGTATGATCAGCTCTAGCGCTGACAAACCTGGCTACAGGATAATAAAAGCACAACTGGTGCGGGTAATACGCAGCAGCCATCTACCTACACACTGACCTTAAAAAGCACAGGACACACTTTAACCACTGTGCTACAGACCCTGCTCCTGCCACCTTAGGGAAGTTATGCCAAGATGAATATGATCCTGCTGAGATGTGCATCCAGATGCACAATTACCAGCAGATGTATGGCTTGCGAGCCCGAGAGGGCGTGCAGTGTTTTGACTATTAATCAAGTCCTGCTTTTAGGCCACAAGTGGCACACGGGTTTGGGAAAGGCATATTTCAAAAAGCTTTACTTGCCTAAAATAATCTCCAGAAACAAGCCTAAGCCTTTTTTTTTTTTTCCTTCATATAAACCCATCTGTGCAAGCAAAACACCCTTCAGATTGTCAAACAGAAGGCAGGCAAGTCTCTCCCCATCCCCTTTTCCTCCTCTCACAAACACCTCCACGGGCCAACAGAGTGGGAAACCTGCCCCGCAGGGCACCGCTGGTTCAGGCTGTTCTGCCTGAGTGCTGACCTGCTGCAAACAGAAGAGACCCTGCCACCACAACCAGGCGAGATGCACACCCCGGGATGCTCACACGCACTGCCTGTGGGACCTTCTCCAGCAGGCACCAGACACGCAGAAGGAGGTAGAAGAGAAGGCGCTGGGTGCAGAGGGGCAGCCGAACCCAGCCTGGCAAGGACTTACATTCAGCTTTGGCACAGATGAGGCAGGCAGTGGTGCAGTTAAAGAAGTTCAGGATCCCTGCCACGGCCACGCTGATATCGGTGTTGCTGGGATGGAGGTTGAGGGTGGTGAACCGCTGGAGCTGCAGCTTCAGGAATTCCTCCGGTGCCACTTTGAAGTGAGGAACCTGAACGGGGAGGAGGGGAAAGAAAACACAATTAAAGAGGAAAAAAAGGCATAAAACCAAATAAATCTACCCAAAAAGGACCTTTGGTGCGAAACGCACAGCGGGCAGAAAGGGAAATATCCCAATAAAACTGCAGAAGCATCGCCAGAGTGAAGAGAGGAGGGTGGGATTTGTGCAATAGCAGAGGAAAATAATTATCAGAGCAACAAGAAGCCACGGGAAGGAGTGGATCAGGAAAAGTCTTGCTGAGCCACTCAGAGAAAGGCAATGGGGGCTGTGATTACAGCACAGGAAGCCATCCCGGATGAGTTCAACCTAATTAGCTTGGGTACTAATTGCAGCCGGGCCTCCACTTCATTTTGGGCTTGTTGCCTGGGTAAATTCAGAGGAAGCTTTGCAGGCAGGGAATCACAGAGCCCATGCTGGAACCCCCCAGCCCTTTGCTGTATGCTAGATGGATGGAGCGCTGCAAACCCACCTCTGCCTGCAGTACCCATGTGTCATCAGGTAATTAGGAGAGATGAAGGGAAGAACAAGATGACCCTGCACTGGCGAGGCCCAGGAGGGAGAGGAACAGATGCAGCAGCCAGAAGCTTTGGACTGTTTTGATCAGCAGAGAGGTAACTGGTGGCCATACGGTGGGCAAACTCCAGTGGGACACAACCACAAGTCCTAATAGTGCTGTGCGTGTCATTAACAGAGCAGAGCAGGAGGTGGGAGAGGAATATCCAGGGAATGTGGGGAAGGGGGAGTGGGGAACAGCCCGAGGGCTCCCTCCAAGGCAGCTCTGCTGCACACCTCATAGCTTTGCATAGAGGGAACAGACAAACCAAGCTCAGACACAGAGGGGTTCAGCTAAATAAGGACAAGGAATATTGTTTTCTTTTTGCTGAATGAATTCTTTGGAAGAAAGAGAAGACAGAGAAAGGGAAATGTCTGCTTTGGCTTCATTACAGGAGTGTCAAGTCCTCTTTTCCTCCATTATTAGTCCTTCCAGAAGCTATCGTCCTATGCTTCCCATCTCTCTCCTCGTGGGAAAGGTTATTAGTACTTTGCGATGGCTGCTTTATTGACAGCATAAGCTGTTTGGGTTAGCAATAGGAAAGTTAAGGAGCAATAAGCAGCTATCTGCCTTAATTTCAGCCCGCAGCCCTCATCCCAGGTTCTGGTAACAGGGAGAGAAGAAAACTGTAAGCAAAAGGTGAATTCCTTTAACCAGAGCAGACAAGGCAGTTCCAGCACAAGAACACGGATCGTTCTTGGGAGCCAGATGAAGCCTGAGACTTCCAGCAACAACCACGACCAGGGAAGAGAGCTGAAGGCAGACAGCACCTTGGCAATTCCTGCAAGCCCCCATGGCCATGGTTCAGACCTCACCATCAGCCCCCGAGCCCTCTTCTCCTTTCCAAGAGCTCTGTCCCAGTGCAACACCCCTTTTTCTGGACACAAGGAAAAGACATCTTTAGGCCAAAGGCACTAGAAAGCTAACACAGGAGACACAATTCATCCCCCCTGGTGAGCACCAGGCCAGTCGCTCCACCATTTGGTGGTAAAATGGGGACACTTTCCTTTACCTGGTGGATGGCTGCAAGTACAATGGCTTTGGCTGGGCTGCTATATCCCATTTAACACAGCGGCACCAACTGATGCTACTGTGATATAAATCACAGGGAGTTACTGCAGGTTTACATCACTAGGAGGGCAGCCGAAATCCAGCTTGAGAATCAAACACCTTAGAAGGGCACTAGCACTCATTTTCATTGCTGGCAAGCAAAACTAAACGAAGAGACTTAGATCAGAGACTCTGAATATGCATTTCAGGGGAAAAACACTTGCAATCTGTTACTGCAGAGTTCCCTTTACCTGGGATGGCTCACACAGCTGGGACGTTTAGCTGGAAAAAGCACTACAAAGTGCTCTCAAGAGACCCATCCTGCTGCAGCCAAAAGCACGAGGTCTAACAGATCTCTTCCTCCTCTTCAACACTTCTGATTCTCAAGGAACAAAGAAGAGCAGTCATTTGTGAATGCAAATTATTTACAGTGCTCAGTTCCAGGCACTCCCCTCCCGGGCTCCAGAGGGAGGCCACTGGAAGGCTGAGAGATGTTATCTGGCTTTAAAGGGATGGACTACGTGAAGAGAACTCCATTTCTTTTCCCTTGAGCAGAGCCAGATGAGTGCAGGATGGTTCAAGGCTTAGACAATATTAAATCAAGCACAAAGTCTGGGCACAGATAAAAGGGGTTTGCATTGATGGAATAGCAGCGAACAGAAAGGGGTGCAGCTTTCCAAGTATGTGCACAAAGTCAGGTCACATCCAGGGATTCTGGCCAGGATTTGCACCTGCCAGGGCAAGCTTTGGTTTTTGCACCCCATATGGTTTGCACGGGGTGGCACGTGAGGGAAGCTGAAGCAAACAGTGATACAGATGAAAACAAGGACAAGGGAAGCAGAGAAAAGAAATGCAACAGGAAGATGCTGCAAGAACATATGACTAGAGAAGGGGCGATGAACCAAGCTGTCAGCTTGGATCATTAGAAGCCATGGCAGATCATGGGAAGGAGAATATAGCAGATAAGACAATTACAGCAAGTCATCTTTGCCAAGGATGACCTGGAATACCATAGGGATGTACCTCACTTCCCCTATCTCATGGAGGCGATGTCCCTGCTCCGCCTTATAACTGGGACATGGAGACAGAACACCAGACTTGAACAAGAACTTCAAGAGGCAGACCCAGGCAAGGGAGAAGGCAGCGTAAGGCAGAGCTGGAAGCTGCAGCAAGCTGTGCAGCTCTGGCTGGGACTTGGCATAGACACAAGAACCTCAGATGAAACCCTTCAAGGCTGCAGAAAGCCCTTCTGCATGGGATCTGCGCAGACGGCATTGCTGCTCAGTATAGTGGTAAATTAAAAACCTCATCCATACTTAGTAAATCAGCAGCAAAAGGAGGTGTTCCCGGGGAATCTGGGCACCCGGCAGCAGGCAGCGGGAAGCGCTGCTGCGATCAGAGCCCACCAAGAGCACCTTCCATTTGAAGGGCAACACGAAGAACATGGGGCTGGGGAATGGGTCAGGATCTCTGCATGTCTCTTACCCATGGTGGGTGAACTCTGCTCTCACCCCAGGCTGCTGTGAAACACTGGGAGGAAGGAGCCAGGACTCCTGCATTACCTCTGCTGGGCACGAGGGTCAAGTCAGTCAGCACAACGGCACAGACTTACTCCAACACAGAACTCATTCACTTACCTCCTTCTCCCCACAGATATTGCTGATAATAGAGCTCGAGGCTGGGCTCGAGGAAGGTCCCAGGACACCCACCACTCCTTTGGGGAGAATCTGACACACTGTGGGCACCAGAGAGAGGAAACATGCATTAGATTTCATCCTCAGTGTCGAGCAGACAGACACGCTTACAGTACCTGCGGCACCTTACTAAGGATGCGGTATCATCTCCTCCACAAAACATATCCCTGCCATTTATGTCCCCCTAAAATTCCACTATTCCCTCTGAAGCACTGCCCCCCTGCCTGTGACACCCTCCTCTCCAGCTTTTCCCAGCCTTTCTAAATCCCACCTGAACTGTCCCCAAGGCCCCAGTATCTCTTCTCCAACTCAGAACTGGGGTTTGTTCTTATACTATCCCTTTCTGGCCCCAGTGCTATTCTCCAAGAGAAAACAGTAACTAAAGTTTATGGGAGATGCTAAGCACAGCAGTTGCCTGGCTTCAAAGCATCATCCAGCAGCAAACAAACTTGTACGAATTCCTTCCCTCACCCTCTGCAGAGCTCAGTGGTAATAACAAGGATCACATTACTGTTTTTCATTTGTGGTTTTTCCTCGGCAGTAGTTAAACTCTTGTCTCCATGCCACCCAGGTTAGCAGAACAATAAACCGACTCTGACAAAATGAAGAAGTTAAATCTCTTCCCCTCAAGTTTCCCCGGTTAAACTGCAACCTTTTGTCCCTTTAATTCACAGCACAAATTAAGCCAAATGGCACTCCAAGGACGTGCCCAGCTGGTGTCACCTCCCTGCTGCCATCCCAATCAACCACGACGCTCACAAGCATTCCTGCAGCAGCTTGTGCAGGCAAAGCCTCGAACAGAAGGCGAGAGCCCCTCCGCCTGAATCCCCGGACTCCAAAAGGCACATCTGGGCATGGGCTGGCCACAGCTCATTCTGAGATACCAGACCTGCCTCAGCATCCCCACGCACTCAGCTCCTTCCTCCCCAGACAGATAAAGCCACATTTGCTCAATCGGCATCAAGTGAAGAAAGGGGATGCCCCCGGGGTGAAAAGAGGCCCCACAAGTACTTATCGGTTCTGGCAAAAGGAAGCTCACAGCGTTTTCAGATGTAAAAACTAAACCACTGTATCATGAAGCTGAGATATTAAAGACAGTGCCTCTTCAGTATCAAATGGGCAGCCTGTTTCAGAGCACCATCCTCACCGCAGGTCCCTGGCTTACACGTCAGACAAGCTTTTGTGATGCTCATGAAAAGTTATCTAGATTCAGCGGCTGGAAAAAGGAGCTAGAACAAGTCAAACCAGGATGTATTTTCTGTAGTGAAGGGAATTCACCATCGGAACTGTCGTCCTACAGATCAGAGCAGGTTCTCTATCAACTTCAGGTCTTTAAATCAAGGTATGAAACGAGAGCCTATACTACGCTTAGGGCTATGGGGCTGAGTGCTGTGTTCAGCATGTGAACATCTACAGTCCATCTTCTGCAGAAGATCAGCTAACGAAGGTGCTCACCTCTGGCCTTAGCCTATGTAAGTCTCCACAGCCCCAGGACTGGAATACGATGCTATAGCTGAGGACGTAGTTCATCACTTTGGGGAAGCGGTTTTAGCTCTTTCCAAGCCTCTTGAAAGAAAAACTCCACCTACTGCTATGTATGGACCCTGTACATACCGATTGCTCTGCCTTCTTACAGAAGGCGCAAGTTCAAGCATCTTCTCTTGGGTTTTCCTTCCTTCCATGCCCCTCCACCACCTCTGTCTGCTACTGATGTATTTCTGCGGCATCTTCAAAGGAATCCAGTACTTGCTTTTCCTCTCTGCTTAAAAATTTACAGGCACTTATACCTCTTCAGAAGATCCTTTTAAATAAGAGCAGCAGCAATTTGAAAACCCTGCATACTCTCTCAGTGGTACTCATCAGTCCCTCTAAGCTGCACGTAGGCCCTTCGGGTGATCGGCAATTCAGCGTCTAGGAGGAAGAAGCTGTTCCAAGCCCTCTTATCCACAGGTCATTAGGGTGAAAGTCCCGAGGGGAATTTTGTTGTGCATGCAGGGAAAAGTTTGCCGAGTGTTTTTCTTCTCATCTCTGGTATTGAGAATAAAAAGCAAGTTAAGTAGTCATAGCAACAGAATCGTAACAACTGCAGAAGAAAAAGACCTGGCTTATCACTCCAAGGGTGAAACATCCAGCAAAATTAAGGGAAATGAATGGAAACAAAGTGGAGGTGCCCTAGGCAAAGGTTTTGGGCATGTCTGGAAAGCTTCTTTCGTAATCAAAGCACATTTCCTATTTTAAAACACTACCTGATGCTGTTCATCTCCACAGGGAGAAAAGGCTCAACCTAGCTACCACCATAGACAGCGTGGATTCAGACAAGCACTTGAGGGATGTAGAAATGTTTGCCCTGGACCACAAATTCATCCCCGATAACTACATGGATATAACCATAAGACACTGGTGTAGCCCCTACCACTCAGAAGTATTTGTACTTCAACACATATGCACATATACAGCACAGGATGCACTTTTGGTTGCTGCACACCCCTATACCTCTGCCCAAGACTGTGTCCAACTTTTATGGGTTTTAGAATTCAGCACTTCAGGAAATACTGGACATTGAAGTGACATCATATCTGAAACCTCCGATGGCACATGGAAATACGTGCTTATTTTGAACATAAAAAGGCACAACAAATGAGTTGTGCTCAATGCATATACATCCAAGTTGTTGTGGTCACATAGTGCCTTTCACCTCCTGTGGTCTCAGGGCACCTGGCAAGCATTTCCATTAACTCTGCCTATTTAAATCATGCTGAAAGCGCTCAGGTGAGAGCATCCACCCAGGGTGCAGAACACAGAATCTCTTTCACTGCCTACAGACACCTGATACAAGGGTTTCAAACAGCATGCAAAGAAGATTCCTGCCTCTAATGGAAAATAAATTATCAGGGAAGATATGCAATTACTTCAACGTTTCCAAGATTGCCAAACACATCTGAGGATCTTGAATGACAGGACTGGTCAGGACGGGATTCTCATACAGAAAACATCAAGTGCATAAACAGACGGTGCTATAGAGAGTGCATCCTGCACCTGGACTCCAAGACTGCTTCCTGCAGCACCCTCTATGCTTCTTACCAGCAAGCCACAACCACAGCAGGAGTAATCCAACAGGATCACAAAGATGGTGGACCAGTTAATAGCTCTGTTGAGTCAATGTCCCTGGAAAGGATGTATCGGGCACTTTGAAGTATTAGTATGAATAAATAAAAGTTTAAAATCCTCCAGTTGCTTGCTCACTCTGACTGGTGACCTGCCCCGAGATGTCTGGATTAACATCAAAAAGATGCTTAAAAGACTGATGAAATGATAGGGGACAGGGTGACAAGCAGAAAATCTGTCCCTCCCCGGACATCAAAAGGAATAAGGTGTTTCAGATATAGGCATGATTAAACAAGTCATTTTGGATCTCCATAAAAGGAGCTGAAACATCAAACACAGAGAACAGGCATCACTTGTAACAGCAAAAAAAAAGCTCTATCCATAACCTTTCACTGCAAAATCATTTCAAAACACAGGACTTCACAGGTGTTGCATACCAGAACAGTCAATGCTTGTCTCCATTCATCTATAAAGCAGAAACAGCAACCCATGCTTGGGTGTGATTCAGACTGACTCATGTTTTACCTGCTATCCAAACAGTGATTTTATGGCCTCCCTAACAGGAAGATGCCTGAGTCAGTCAGGAAGAAAACAGAAATATAACACCTCAAACTAGGAAACAAAACTAACTCTCAAAGACCCTTTCTCTTGGAGCACTAGCTGTACGTGAGTGTCACTGATGGGGGGGAATTGCAGTGCTCCTCCATCAGTCGGCTAACCATGCCAGCTGTGATATTTGAGGGTGATTCACAGGGTGTGAAATTTGAGATCAGGATTAAAAAGATGTATAACAGCTTTGCAGTCATAGGTTAAAACATCCCAACTGCTTTTATTAATATTACGTGCGATAACAAATACAAGCGCTTTATTAAAGCTGAGAAGGCAGACATTTGAAAGCTATGAAAGCCTTGAAATGTAAGTTAAAGGATCTGATTCTCCTCTACTACCAGTATAAATCAAGAATAACTCCAGTGACATTAATAGAGAAGCCATGCAGAACACGGATTTCTCCTTTTGTACAAAAGGCTTTAAGAGACTTTTCTCTCTGAAGAAAAGGCAAATAACACGTTGCAAAATTGTGTCAATATTTACTTGACCAAAACCACATCAGTTTGCTCCAATTTCTACCTTTTACACTCTGCGAGCTCAAGTAAAGGAAACAAAGAGAATCACCCTGAGGTGAAAACTCAAACCAGAAGATTGCCTCTTCCTCGCTTATCCCATTTCCACATTCTCCCTGAAGACCACATTTGCTGAAATCCACATTTTCTTGCATAATACTTCATTTCCCAGCAAATTAATATTCCCCTGCTTGAAAAATGGAAACCCAGGCAGTCCCCATCCCTTCTGCATGGTCTGGCCAGTAAGGCTGCATTCACCCTACGGCTCTGCCAAGCGAGGGGAAAGCAGGACGTATGCAAGCCTCAACAGATGGGAAAGCCCAAGAAGAAGTTAAAAGGGATGCGAGCTCCAAAAGGTGGAGAGCTGCTGTTTTGAACAGTCTCCGTGATGCTGCATGCGATGATCTTAATCTAGACTGCCTCTTGGGTGACAGGCTCTAAAAATAGCCATACAGGTACTTGCTGAAATGCACTTTTATTAACTGAATGCTTCTATAAATAATGCAAACACTAATTCAGGAAATGAAGGAGCAATCTGCTGATCTCACAGGCCTATCGAGCCCGTTCTGCCACATACCCACAGACCTGCTCCTGAGCAGCGCTGGGTCCGTGCTCCATGGGGCCTCCCAGACACAGGGATGCTCGGTGCTGTACAGAACACCAAAGCTGCGTAGAAAAACCAGGCTGCCACACCTTTTGGGGATACCCTGCAGATTACAAAGGCTTGCGACAGGGAACCACTAGGAAATGAGCCTAAAAATCCCTATTACTTAAAATTATTTCTCCAGCTTTTTCAAGCTAACTTGTAATAAAAAGTAATAGTCCTCCATTGAACTCTAAAGGTCATCTTAAAAATAGGTCTAAAGGGACCATAACCTGTTCCAAAGGATTTTCCCTCTTACAGGAAGAACCTCTCACAGATCTCTTTGGTTTCTTGCCCTCAGGCTCCTGAGAGGTCTGTGGCCACTAACCATCAACTTCTCCTTTTAGTCATCAGCATGGAGTTGGCACGATGGGCATCGAGAGGAGCAACTAGAGCAGAGACCCATCTGTGTTACGAGGACAGCAACATGGGAAGTATGCTGCCTTTCAAAACCAGCTCTTTTTAATCCACATGATTTCAAACATCCCTTGAAAACTTCCCCTTGTGTAAACGAACCCACTGCCAATCTGAAGCACTGAAAAAGCTATCGTGTTTGCTGACACGCAGCGTTCTGTGGGGTTTTAGAAAGAACTTAATTGCACTAAACTTGCCCATCATCTCTTATTTGCACACTATAAAGTACTTCACAAAGGAGCATCGCTTCCTGTACCATTACCTCTGTTTATTGACACACAGATTAAAGGAATAATTTGTCCCAAGCCACTGGGCTGCATGGTGGCAAAGCTTACTCCTGTTAATGTGCCACTGTAACCTGCGCTGGATGCAGCCAGGCAGAGCCAGCCCTTCCAAATGCATGGCTGGTGCTGAACTCAGCACGAGTGCTGCTAAAGATCCAATACAGCTCCCAAGGGAATGCTGCACCCGCGTCCAGAGTGTACCAAACCCCTGCACCAAACCTGACTGTGCTCAGGCAGCGAGGGCAGGTCTGGGTCTTTGCAGAGAGTGATGTGTTGATCAATCAATACATGTTGCTCTTTCCAGTGCTTATAGAGGAGCACAGAGGTGCTTTTTGCCCTCTGTACCTCCCTCGGCTATCACACACTTATCCTCTGCACAGTGTGCCAGGCACCTCCTGGGAGCCAGCAGAAAGCAGAAGTGGGGAAGGATCAGCTCCACGGAGGGGTACTTACTGGTTTCCGCTGTCTCATACTCGCTGTCTCGCAGCAGCTCAAAGATGTCCACCTCCACCTTGGCTTTCCCCACCCGCTCGGGAGCACGGTTGATGCGGTTCTTGGCCAGCGTGATGGAGAGCCTCTCCCCTCTGCTGCACTCCATGGGGTCATCCAGGATGGCAGCTGCGGAAGCAAAAGCGATGGCAAAGATTACGCTTGGCAGGGACCCGGCTCGGCTTTCCACTTTTCCATTCCCTTCCCTTTGGGATCTCCAGTGCCACGCAAGCAACCACCGCGTCAGCACTTGTGCTATTGTTAGAGCATCCTCCCTCCATCGTGCGGCCTTTCCTGCTGCTTCGCCCACCTGCCAGGTCTTGCCAGACATGTGGGTGTTCACATCTCTGCAGCAGTGGCTGTGTTAGCTGCTGCTGCACTGCAGCACGACACATCCACCCACGCTGCCTGGGGACCTGGTGGTGCCTAACACCCACCGCAGCACAGCCAGCCGCCCGCACCGGATGCTCTAAAGAGGGACGTCCACCCGTGCTGCCCCAAGCAGCCCAGATCCAGGCACTGCCTCGCATCCTAACAAAGGGAAAACGTCCCCAGATAGCCTCGGTTTGTTCGTTTGAGAGCGCGTTAGTACGGTGCTAATAGCTGGAATATTTCAGGAAGCACGTGGGCAGCCGTGGGTGGGAAGGGACAAATATTTGTCAAACAGAAAGCACTTGACTCTTGAACTCAGCTCCTGGGCCTGCCCACTCAAATCTGTGTTCGGCACAGGGAGATAGTGTGGGGTATTTTTATTTCCTTGACGGAAGGCAAAATGAGATTAGAATCGAGCATTCATCACAGTGTTTCATTATGAGCTGGCACATCTTCTGCACCCCCGTGGGTTTATCCTTGCTAATAGGAGGTCTCCTCCTACACAGCCTAGACAAAGAAACTTGTCTCAGGTTCAGGGTCCCATTACTTTGGCTTTCCTGCCCCTGAGCCTTGCTTTGAACCAACCCCAAACCTCAAAGCATAGCCCAATTTCTACAACCCATTTGCATCGCATTTCAGGGCTCTTTTCTCAGCTTTGCTATGCTCATCCCAACGGGATCCCTTCTCTCATAAAGCTGCAGAGCACCTCTGCTTCCTCATCCTGCCCTGACTCCCACAGTAGAAGGTAACTAGATACCAAATCCACTGGTGAAGCATATCCAAGCTAGTCCGAGTTACTTGCATCCTGATGATACCCACTCAAGAAACTCCTTCTTTTCCTACTTTATCCCAGTTTTATGGGAGCTAAGCTGAAGTACTGATAAAGAAACGCACAGCAATACTTCTTGTACGATATGCACAGATGTCTTGGTGAACATTCCCAGTCCTTCAGGTGCTCAGCTAACACACAAGCACCATCATTATCTGTAAAGCTAGGGCAGTTAATCTCATTATGCAAGAAAGAAGGTTGTGCTCTCCTCTAAGGCCAGGGACATGGATCACAGGTTTGCTAAGCATCGATATGGATCTTAATGACAAAGCAGCAGGGAAGCTAAAGTGCCCCAGCAAGCAGCTTGCCCAGCTCCGCAGCAGCAGCAGACAGAGAAGAAAGTCCTCATGCACAAAACTACCTGATGTGTGCAAGCTCCTCACTACAGCCCTGTTTCCAGGAAAGGGTAAAGCAATGTACTGGATCTGATGAACATTACCAAGTGCTGCTTACATTCGAGGTGCTGACATAGCGAAATTAAAGATCAGTGGTTGGGGAGTGTGTGTCAGCATTCTTTGATTCATTATTTTCTCATTTAAGGCTTCAAAATCACGACATTGGAAAACGTTTACAAGTAGATCCTTCAAGTGTCGGTTTCCAAACAAAATTGACTTTCGCTAATGTATAGTTAAATACACTTTAAATACAAAAGCGTCAAAACCCGAAGCATTTCAAGTCAATTCCTCAGGCCACCGAGGCAAAAAGGTTTGCACAAAGGTTTTCTGTCTCCATTCAGGACGGGATTTTCCATTCTTAATTCTGTAAATCTTGACGAGCTCCCTACAGCTGAGTAAAATGACCAACCTGAACCCCAACAAGTCCTCTTCTCTGCTCTGATTCAATGGGAACTTTGCCTTCCACCTTGGCAGCAAATACGAGGGGAAGGTGGAAGTGCTCCCAGCAAGTGGCAGGTTTAGGATGAGAAAGGACCCACACAGCCTAAATGCCAGGATGGAAGTGGTGATGGCACTCCTAGAGCTTAGGCACTCATCAAACCACATTACTGCTTCCTACCTCCCTGCAAGCCTTCGGATAGAAAACCACCACCATTTGTTCACTCGCACTTTGGGAGGCTAGTTAGTTTTACCAACCATTCAAAGAGCCCCCAGAACAGGAGTAGGTAATGAGGTTGAACTAATCTTTATTTATTAAGCTAGCAGATGAAAAAGGTCACTTAATGTTTAAAAAAGGTTGGGTTTAAAGCTTCACGTCTCGGGACACGGTGCCAAAGCTCGTCTAATAGTGGCATCGTTAAGTAGGAACGAAAATCTTTACAGAAATTCCCTTTCATCTATTCCTGTCTATTAAATATGGGAAGATGCATCAAGTAAATCTTTAATCCTGAAGGCTTACAGCAAAGTCTTTGAACTTTGTTGGCCTCAAAAATCACTTCTATCTTCCCCATCATAATAAATGTCTCCAATCTCGGCTGCCTTCTCTATGAATTATGAGAAGAGTATTTCAGAGGGAGCCAGGAACACCTGGGTCTGTGATGCCCGATTCAGGGCTGCATAGGATTTCCCAGGGAGTGAAAGTCAAACAGCTTCAAGTGAAGTCAGGGAGGACCGGCTGGAAACATCTTTTCCAGCCACAGATATGCACCCTGAATGCAGTAATAATTCTTCTTTAATTCTACATGCCCAGGTTTTCTTTACACTTAATACAAAACCCATAAAGCCAAGAGGCTACAAATCAGAGTTTATCGCTCTGAATATGCACTGAAAATAGCTGGGTTACACTTTCTTAACATCCAAGCAATAAGTGACTTGAGCTGAAAATCTCCATCAAAGACATATTTCAAATGCAACCCTCAGAGTTAATGATTCAACAGTAAGAACCACAAAAAGAGTATTACTGGCAGCCGAAGAAATGCAAGATGATGTGACAGTGCCCTCTGAGAAAAGCAGAGTTCAATAACTTTCCTATATGTCATCCTCCACTCAAGCTGAGCACAGCCACGGTAGCAAAGACAGATGCTCAAACTCTCCTGCCCTTTCGCCTCTTACCCTGGAGAAACTTCTCCAGGAGGAGAAGAACATTGATTTCTCACCTCAAACAATCCAGTCCTATTCCTTTTTACCTAAACCAGCAAACAGGCGGGCAGGCAGTGCTGTCAGCTGGTGTGTTTTCAGTGGTGGAGACAGCTGTCTTCCCAGAGCCGGGCTGAGATGCAGCAACTTCATCCTAATGATGAAGGCACCAGCCCCTTTCAGACAGCACGGAAATGTAATCCTTTCCCCCCTCAGCTGGGTTTCAACCAGGGCTAAATAAGCACAGAGCCTCTGCTCTCCCATTCCCACAAGCCATGCGGCTCCCCAGAGCGCTACCTGCCACCAGCCAGATTCACAACGTACGCGCTCTGACAAGCCTAATGCGACTGCAAGCTTTACTACATGGCACTGCTTAATGCCAGATCCAACCACGATCTAATGAAATAGCATTTTTCTAACAATAACAGGGAACAGATGCCACCGGGAGGTTTGTACATTGCTACAACAGCGTTCTGCTGACCCTTCCCTGTTAACTCCGTTAAGCATTGCTGTTTTCCCAGATGCTTATCATCCCATTAAGATGTAAAGCCACACTCGGAAACACAAGTGCCATCTCAAGTCATCGCTTGAAGATGTAGATTTAGCAAAACACTGGCTTAGTAAACATGATATTTCCCTGTTTGTGACCTGTTCCTCCAAGTTAAAAAGCTAGAGCTATACGCAATATATCTCAGGTGTCTCCTCTGACAGATTATGATCACACTTACAACCTCCTCTGATTTATACTGTAAACACAGTCCTCAAATCCTCTACATACCCGCTATGAATGGACTTTCAAATTAAGAGCTGTAACTTCAAGTTCAACCAGGTTTAGACACCTAGAAGATCCAATGCTTACCACTGAAGCATATCAGTGCCTCGGTCTCAAAAGCAGGAAGCCTTTGGATCCAAGGCACACCAGAAAACACTCTGTTCTTCAAGCACTGATGTCCTGCTCAGGAACACCAGCCTCAAGAGATGCGCTGGGACACGGGGGCATCACCCCAGACCTCCACATCTCTCCTTCCTGCTGCTCTCCAACCACCTGCACTATCTCTTATCACCAGAGACCCACCTCGAGCTGCTCCTGACTTCACGAACCAGAAACCAGCTCTGAAATCACGAGGCTTCAGATCATTTGAAGGTCAGTTGATTAAACATGGCTGCAGGATTGCCTTATTTTGCACATTTCCCCTCTGCTGAGCACGATATCAGCCCTTCAGGCTGCCAACACAGGAAAGGAGAAGAAATTTGGAGACTTCCTCATTACAGGGCTGTCAAGTACAGCTCCAGTGGAGAAACAGGTGGGATTGTGTTTCCATTCTAATCTCTGAAGTGCTGCTTAAAAATAAAGCAAGAAGTCATCAATATGCTATTGCTCTGAGAGGAAAGAGGATCTCATCAAGGAAAAACAAAATCTCCCAACATAAAATCTCCTTCACAAAGAGACTTGATAATGTTTGCCTGATCACTGTAGCAGAGGGCTATTTATTGCTTTTGGCCAACGTTTCAAATCTGCATTTAAATGGAGCTTTCCTTTCATTTCTGCTATCCAGAGAGAGTGAACTCAGGGGAGAAAAGGAGAAACATGATAAAAACTGCTGAGGGGTTTTGTTTCTATTGCTTGAAACACAACCTCTCTTTTCTCTTCTTTAATAATCACTTTGTGTACATAAAATCAGAGTAACACTCTCCAAGGTTTCAGGAAGATGGAGAATGCCATCACACTTCCCTGCTGCCTTCCCCGAGTCTGTCAGTTGTGCTGGACCTGTCACAGTGCTGGGATGCAAAGCCTCAGATGGGGCAGCTCACCCTTGTGCCCCAGCAAACCTTGTCCCTCTAGGCCAGGAAGGTAAAAGCACTGCTGGACCACTCTTCCCTCCTCTGCTCACATCTAC